TTTATTTATTTATTTGCTAATACCAATGTAGTCTTTTTTTTTAGCTTTTACAAAAACTTTATTGAGAACTTCATACATGCATATAAGGTGTTTTGATCAAATCCATGCCTACTCCCTCCCTTCCAACACCTCCATCTCCCCATCACTTTTTTCATTTTCTTTTTTATTCTTGTTTATTTTTATGGGGCATTTGGGTTCTCTAACATTCTCTCCCCTGAAGAGGTAACACTAACATCTTTTAAGGATTAGATACAAGCTCCCAAATACTTCTAACATTTTTGCCTTTGGAACAGTATGTTGCTAAGAGGCTCAAGGGCATTTTGTGTTTTAGACAAGAAACTGGCTACTTTTCTTTGGGGTCTTTTTACCCTAACTGCCTAGCCAATTCCTACCTCCTATTCTTATCACACCATCCTCTGAAGAGGTTACCCAAATTGCTGATAGTGAATCGGGATGCAGATCACTCTGGCTTTTTCCATCCTGAACAGGGCCACAGGGTAAGGCAATTGGAGCACCCCTTAGGTAGGTCTATCTAAAAGACTCCTAAATTGCATAACTTTTATCTGTAGGGAGAAAAGGAGGTCCTTGACTGATGAATAGGAGATGTGAAGGAGAAGTAAAGGCAATAGTAATTAGCATTACAAGTTCTAGACAGGGACCTAGAAAAAAGTCAGAACAGGGCAATCTTCAATTATTCATATGAGAGTCCATTGGAGTTTCTTGACAAGGGCTTCCGAAAACATCCTTCTATTGGGTTCTTCCTCACTTTTCTTTTGTCTTCCAAGGCTGGACTCTAGAGTGATGGATTCAGGATTTGCTTTCAGATACTTTGATAGCTGTTAGAGTGGTTAGAATCAGAGTCAGTTCCCTCTCAAAAGCTTTGAGATAACTGCTATTAAAGTGATGGCTGTGGCCTCCAGTCCCACCCTAGCTATTTTATTAATTCTCTTAAATTCAGAACTAACAAAAAGAGAAAAGACCATCTAAGCTTAAAAATGTCTAATACTATAAAGTTAACACTTTTAACTCAGTTTGCTCTTGCTTTTTAGACTACCTTTGAAAGTGTCCTTAAAACATGAAGAGTCTATGTCTACTTTAGGTTGGTCATTATCTTGTGGAGTTCATACACCCTAGCTAGGAAGGACTATAACTCAAATTTCTACACTACTGCTTCCCCCAGTCCAAAACCTGCAGCCAAGAAGAATCCTACTGAAAATAGTTATCAACAGAGTTTCAGGGGGAGTGACCAAAAATACTATCATCTTTGAAACTGGGAAACTGGGCTATTGTTGATGGCCTTGTTTTGCCCTTCCAGGGAAAATACATGGCCAGATGCAAAATGCATTAATATTGTAAGGTAGAATCTTTCATGTGGTTAATCAGAAGCTATGTACCTGTCTATCCTGCTTGGATTAGAAATGACACTGATTTGCTGATAATGTATTTTGTTATTGTTATTATCCTGTAGCCTCAGACGATACAGCTGACTCTGAAGAGGACATTGCAGTATTATGAACATCAAGTTATCGGGTGAGTAAAATGTATTTTGGCTACTGATAGGGAAAAATTAAAAGCTGTTTCTTAAGCACAGTTTTTGAGCTTATAGGCTATTGTGCTGTTCAGGTCAACCTCATTTCATAGTGGTTGTTTCTTAATATGCAGTGCAGAGACTAAGAAGAGCAGCTTGCTGTCATTAGTTTATTTATATTTAGTTCTTTTAAATAAAAAAATGAAATTATCTTTTGGTAGTGTTTCGCCCTCACTCCTTTTTCCCTTTCTTATGCTATTACTCACTGATTGCAAGGTTGAATCCCATAATTTTGCTTTACTACCATGGAAAGTTTGTTGATATCATCTGGGAGACTTTAGTGAGATGTTTGGAATCTTTACAGGGAGTTTAACTGAAATCATACTTCAAGGAGATGGACTGGTTCAGCCAGCATCCCATTCTACATATTTTTCTCTGTTAGCCTCTATTTCTCCAAGTTGTTTTAATAATTTGTGAAGTAAGAATATGTCACATCAAAAAGTAGGAATTTAACACCTCACCAGCACAGAGGAATTTTAATAAAAAGTGTTGGTTATATTTGTAACTAAAAATATTTAGATATCATGGTTAAATGAGATGATTTAAATGAAAGTATTGTATAAACAATACTCAAAATAAGCATAAGGTACACCTTTTGATTGGCAATAGTAGAAAGGTGTTTGGCAAACACCAAAACCCTAAATTTACCTTTTTGAATAATCTAGCTTTTCATATTAAAGCAAGTAACATTAGAGACAATGAATATATTTAATTCACCATGTTCGTGTTTTCTGAATGCCACAGTGGTTTGTCTTTGTGAGGAGTCAGGATTCAAACTCTAGTGTTTCTTGAAAGATTATTAGGAATCATTTCACATTATAGTTCATAGTCACTGCTATGGGATCAGAAATATGTTCTTGGCTATTAGGATATAATATGATTAGAAAACAAAACAGGAGTGTAGAGAAAGAATGGAAAAATGATTTCGGTATCTAGTACAACGCCATATACTTTAAGTGCCTGATGATTATGTTAATTGTCATTTCAAACGGAATTGCTTTGAAACCTTGACACGTTAATTCTCAGGAGTGCAGTTCTAGGAAAAACATTTAAACTCATGAGATGGCTTTTAGTTTGAGGCCATTAGTGATTTAAAATGGTTTATCCTAATGGAGCTAAAGAATGTCAAATTAATCTCTCCTCACACATTCTAAAATAAACCTTAATCACTGTCACTGAGTTTGCTGCCTTCAAAGTGTGGTGTATGGCTTGACTTAGTTAATATACTTAGAGCAATTTGTCATCTGTGGTAAGCAAAGAACATCTGCTATTCTTATTAGTTTGGATGTTTTATGATAGTTCCAGCCATCAGCCTCAATCCATTGTTTTTGGGATTATGAGTGAGTATTCTCTTTGCTTTGGAATCAAGTAATGGATGATTTATTTTCACTTACAAACTGAACCGCCCTTAGGAGTAGGAATCTTATAATATGATCCAAATAGGGAGCCAAATGCCTTAGACAGTCAACAGAACGTCTTTTGGCCATTAGTGGGATGGAGTCATTTTATCTAACTGCCTTAACTTTCCTGTCTATCTGTGAAGACATGGCCTGTGGAGATTCATTTGTTAGTCTTCTCTTCGTTCTATTTGTTGCCAGCAAAGTATAAAGAGTATTGATAATTTGACTGGAACAAGAGTTGTCTTGATGTCCAACTTGATTACAACAGAGCTATAAACACGCTTACTTGACTGACTTCTAGGACTTGGACCACGCTTGTGCCTTTGCATTCTTTAGGGAAAGTAAAGAGCTAGTTGACTACAATTTCTTCATGCCTGCCTTTCTGGACTTTGTCTTCCTTTCCCCTTTCTCTCATGGTATAGCGTCTCTCCCCAATTTCCTCTTTGGACTTTGAGTCTCCATTTTTCTGTTTTTATTTCTCTTTACGAAACTGAAAAAGGAGAACAGTTAATATCCCTGACACTGGGGCGAAAATGTATTCACACCTATGCGTTTTTCCTCTTCTCAAAACACGATTTAAGGCTTTTTATCTCTAACTGTGAAAAGGAATGTGTTTCTTATAGTTAAGGGGATTTGTGGCAACAGGCATTATTTTGCACGTTTTTGGCGAGATATGGATGAGAAGGAAATACTTCTCCTAATTTCTGGAATCAGACTTGTCATAGAGTTCTCTTGAAGTAATTTAACTTTTACCTGCCACAGATTGAGGTGCTTAGACAGGAGAGAGGATGCAATGTATGGACTAACTCTTTTCAATTTCTTAATATAGCCTCTAGTTACTGACCTTCCTATCTTCCTTTTCCTTTTCTTAAAACTCTGTCCTTAGATCTGCTACATTTATCCGAACTCTAGGGTCATATACTCAGCTCCATGAATTCTTATACCTGTTGCCCATAGAAATGTCCAGAGCTTCTTTGCGGTCCCCTAAGGCTTAGGGGTGAATGCAGGGAGCATCTATTCAAAGGATCACAGACAGAGTGTTGAGAGGGAAGTGATGGAGCCTAGAACACCTAAAATAGTTTTATTTATTGAGAATTTCATACAATGTATTTTGATCATATTCAGACTCCCTCTCCACTCCCACATTACTACCCCCTTCATGTTCTCTATTATTATTTGTCTTTTTAAAAGGTCTACCAATTCCAATTTGTGTTTCCCAAATGCTCTTGAGTGTGGGTCCATACTTTAGAGCCTTGTCAACCTACCAGCATCACACCCTTAAAGAAAACTGACTCTCCCTCTCCCAGCAGCTATCAGTTCCCAATAGATCCTCAGCTAGGGCTGGGACTTCTTCACCTCTCCCATCCATGCTGGGATTCTGTCTGGCTTGGGCTTGCACAGGTCTTGTGTATGCTGTCACAAATCCTATGGCTTCATATGTGCAACTGCCCTGTGACAAGTCAGTTTTGTTGTATTAATTCACCATCTCTGACTCTTACAGTCTTTCTGCAGTGATTTCTGACTCTTGGGAGGAGACGGTATGATATAGGCATCCCATTTTGGACTGAAAATTCTTCAGTCACTGTACATTGTACATTCTTCAGTGTTCTCTGTATGTTGACCACTTGTGGGTCTCTGTGTTAGTTGCTGCAAGAAGAAGGTTCTCTACTGAGAGCTGAGAGTTGCACTAATCTATGGGAATAGCAATGTCATTAAGACTTGGCCTAATACTATGTCCATTTAGCAGAATAATAATAGCAGGCTCTCACCTATGACCTGCATCTAGTCACATGTTCTTGCTCTTGATAACAGTGTCATGTATAGACTCCATCTTGTGAAACAGACCTTAAATCCAAAAGAAGGTAACTGGTTAATTCCTTAACGTTTGTGTTCCTATTGCACATCTTGTCAGGCCAGACATTATTGTAGCTCACAGGGTCCACAGCTGGGTAAGGCCAATGATTAATCCTCTCTTCTGGTAGCATGCATAGCACCTTCTAGCACTATGAAAGCTAGCCAGTAGACATGAAGCTTCAAGACTTGGTACCAGCCTGGTTTCTGGTGGAGCCTTCTATGGAGGAAGACATCTTTTCTACTTCAAGCACTTTGTCTTTAAACATCTATTCTATGCTTTCAAATACCAATTTGGTCATTATTTTTATTTATTCTTAGAGATCATTTGTGTTGGCGAATGAGTGCTAAAATAATTTATTCATGCTATGTGATCAATTTCTTCCTCTCTACGGTCATTATCATCGTCTCTCACTGAGAGAGTCTGATCTGGTTTTCTAGTTTCTATTCCTGTCTCTTAGCCTTGGTTTTTTTTTATTTTAGCTTTGGGTTTTTAATCATAGAAAAATTATTTAAAAATTAGATCAGACCACTTTCTTACTTGAAGTTAGTGATTTTCAAGTACTAATTTCCATCAAAATCTCCTACACACACACACACACACACACACACACACACACGCACAATACACATACAATTACAAAGGACATTTCATGAGATTGGCTTATATAATCAGAAGCTGAATAGCTCCACCCACAGTGCCTGTCTGCACACTGTAGAGCTAGGGAAACCAGTAGATGCTCAGCCCAAGAAGCTGGAATCTTCAGCATAAGAGAAACCAATGAAGTCCTCAGTATGAGGTAGAGTTCTGAAAGCCTCATAGAGAGTTGCTCATAGAAGTTTGGGTTCAGACTGAAGAATCTGGAGTCTGATATTCACAGGCAATGACAACAGCAAAAAGACCTATCTGCTTTAGAACTGAGCACATACATATGTGCTAGCTTCCCAAGTCTGACTTTTGTCCCACCTGAGGCTTCAGCCTATTGGATAAAGTCATTCATGTTCAGGGAAGTTCTTTCCCATTCAGATCATCAACACACATGCTAATTATCTCTGCAAACACCTTTATAGACACACCTAGGAGTGTGTTTTATAAATTTTCTAGGCATTTCTCAATACAGTGAAGCTGACAGCTGAGACTAAGCATCACATCCACCCCCACGGTTGTTGATTCCATGAGTCTAGGGAAAGATCAAGTCAGTTTTTTTGACAAGTTCCCAGGTCACACTAACAGCACTGGTCAGGGGTCACACTTGTAAACACCTTTAAACCACACATGGTCTATTATGAGAGAGTAAAATCTGAGTTCTCTCTGTCATCTGACCTCTACTTATATCTGTAATTCCATTCTCTCCCATCATTCCCTCTTTCCCTTTCACAGCAACTATTTGTTGCTTTCTGGTTATACCAAGTTTATCTCATGGCCTTTGCATAGCACTGTTCCATTTCTTGAATATGCTGTACACCCAGAAGTCTGCTTGCTTGTTCTGTCTGTATTTTCAGGTTTCTGATGGGCTGTCATCACTTTTGAAAGATCTTCCTTGAGCGCCCAATCTAATGACATCATCCATCTTTGACCTCTGCCTCTAACCCAGTCATTTCTATTCTACTAGCCTCTTTGATTTCACAGTCATTATTACTAGCCGATGCTCTTTTCTTTAGATTCTCATTAGTTGTGCTCACTTCCACTT